ATTACCATCGTTTCCTCTCAAGCTGGACAGGTAGGTGTGTACGGGTACTCAGCGTACGCTTCTAGCAAGTTCGCTCTACGAGGGCTCGCTGAAGTGCTTCAGCAGGAGTTGGACTGCTACAACATCCGTCTGTGTCTTGCTTATCCTCCAGACACGGAGACCCCCGGCATGATCGAGGAGGACAAGACGAAGCCAGAACTGACCAAGTACATCTCAGGCACGACCAAGTTGTGCCAGCCAAAGGAGGTAGCTCACGACATTATCGAGGGGATCAAGTCTGGTCGGTTCAYYGTGAGCACGGGGTTCGTTGGGGGAATTCTGGCCACAGCCACGGCGGGGATGTCGCCTCAGCCCTTCCTCGTCTCGAAGGTGACGGAGATTCTCTTGATGGGTGTGACTCGGTTAATTGCTCTCGTAATTCTCAGCGATTGGTATGGGAAGATTGCCCAATGGCATAGTCAGAAAAAAGGAGGAAAGTGAGTGACAATGGAGTACTGGTAGGGTACGGAAACACACACCACAGAGAGGGAAAGGGAGAAGGGGAGGGAGGGTGAGGGCGAAGGGAATAGTGTTTTCTGTGTTTGCGGATGTGGTTTTTTTTTTTTTGTGTGTGTGTGTGTGAGAGAGAGAGAGAGAGAGAGAGAGGGAGAGAGAGAGAGAGAGAGAGGGGCAGGCATGGATGAGGAGCAGAGAGAGAGAAAAAGATGACCGTTCAAATTGTGAGTAAATCCATCGTGAGCTCGAATCCTCTCGGAATCAGATTGATTGATTGATTGCTTCCGTTAGGGGTCAATAATGGTGGTTAGTCCTTAAAGCCTGAAGAAAATCGAATTAGGACTGCTCAAGTGTAGTCGCAGGTGTAATACCGAGGCTTCTCCTGCATACGGTGCGCGAGTACTGATGCATGTGTGTGTGTGTGTGTGTGTGTGTGTGTGAGAGAGAGAGAGAGAGAGAGAGAGAGAGAGAGAGAGAGAGAGAGAGGTAATGGGACCGTCCTGGGTCCTTGCGCCGAATGGTAGGGCGATCGACCCGAGGAATAGCTTCTTTTTGTTTGAACTATTATCTTCAATCGGATGGATTTTTTAAATATTTTTTTAGTAGTAAAGCTAAGCTATATTCTTCTCTCAATTTTACCTTTCACTATCTACCTGCTACTACTTCTATGCCAATACAGGGGACCCCTGCAAGCATAGCTACCTCTCTCACAATGAAGGGGGATGCATGTTGTCCCCCGCCCTAATCGGCGGTGGTCAGGGAGTAGGGTGGGGCCGGCGCTGTGGGGGACCGGCTAACGTAAAGACCGAGCATTTTGGCAGTAGCTGCGCCTCCCATCTCCCATCTACTTCCCCCAAGCCCCATCAAGTCGCAGCGGTGTCTAAGGCCAACACTCTCCCACACACCACACACACAACCCACAACTCACTCACACTCACACTCACACTCACACCCCTGCTGGTCATAGACCCTACTATAACACCGATCAGGGGTATCAAGCGGACTATCACAGTCGGTTGGCACTAAGTGCGTTGCAGGCGGTGGTGGGGCTCGAACCCACGACCTCCTGAATGCCACAGTCCGATGGATTTTTTTTTTTCCTGCAGGGAAGGCTGTGTTTTTTTACCGGATTAATTGTAGCTGGATTGAAATTTTGAATTTAGTTTTTTTTTTTTTTTCTCTATATGCTGGGACATTCGTAGTTTCTAATCAAAAACATAAGTAACAATAGCGTAGGAAATGAATTGAATGGATTCGGATTATCAGCAGGGAAGTTTCTTCAAGATACCCCTCAACGACTACACGCCGGCGCTGGATTGCCGAGTAGTATTCGGGGATGGGAGAGGGATGGAGTTGGCTCCATCGCTACTCTCGTGCAGGCTATCTTATATGTAGTTTGGCGTTAGTCAGTTGGTGGTCGCTTCATCGTGGTCGTCTCTCTATTATTGAGAGAGAGACGCATAGTAATTGCTGATCTTTGAAAACGAGGGAATTCTTTTCGGCCATAGTATATTAGCCGTTCGGTTTTAAATCCCATGAGGGAGGTCTGGATCCTGGACGAAAAATGCAATTGTTGCTACCGGTAGCGCAATTCTTGCTACCGGTAGCGCAGTAACCGGCAGTGAGGAGACACATTGACTGGTGGCGGCGTCGACAGGCCTGTGTGGTCGGGGGCAAGGTCCCACTTGCGCAAATAAGGAGATTTCGGCCGTTGATCTTTGCTATGTACGGTCAGTATCTCTTAATTCGTGCAAGTGGGACCTAGCCCCGGGTCAGGTGAGAGTGTGACTGGGTACACCGGGGCGTGGGAAACAGTGTGTACTCATTGCCCACCTCCTCAAGATATGTATGTAATGGGACGCTGGACCCGGTTTCCAGCAGGTGCAGCTCCGCACCAATAGATGGAGTGACAGGCACATGTATACTAGTTGGGGGGGCTCATATCACTTGTATTTCCGGCAGAGTCTTGAAAAAAAAAAAAAAAAAAAAAAAAACCTAATCGTCGGGCTGAATTTTCGCCCCAGTCAGCTTAAAGCCGTTTCGTTGAGCGGGCAACTCCCATGAGGGAGGTTAGGGGTTCTATTTTCGAGATCGGATCATGGACGAAAAATGCATTATGATATTGTAAGGGAGATTTTTTTTTTTTTCGTCTTTCTTTTTCTTTATTCTCTGTCTTTCTTCTTTTTTTGCTAATTGTAAGGGCATGGTTTTGGGATTCCATTCGTTTCTGTTATATTAAAGGTTGTTGTATGGCTGATAGAAAAGAATACGACTCGGAGCCCAAAGCAACGTTTTGATCTCTTATGATCTCTGTAAACAAAGGTCTTCTTAATCAGTCGTTAATTGTAGCGGACCCACCAGGTGTGGTGCTCCGCTAGTGACAGAGATGGAGATGGAGAAAGAAGGGGGAGCAAGATGGCACAACGCAGCTCCCCACGCAAGACTCCAACGCACGTACTCCAAAATGTGCACGTGAGGAATGAGACTGAAAACAGACAAGGGCTGGGGTATACCCCAGCGGACTGACGGGACTGGACTGGACTGGCTGGTACCGACAAAGGTACCGGCCTGGACTGGCCTACCCCGAATGTAACACAGGCCTGTGAGAACAGGCCAAGGKGCTGGTCTCACAGGCCAACCTGAGGTCCGCTACACGATCCTCGGCCTGTGATGGATCGCCTAGATACAAACATGCTTCCGCCGAGAAGCGGAACTCTACCAATGAAAAGAAAACCTGAGTAGTCTAGGATGTGGAGCAAGCTCCATGCTGAGTCCATGCGATGCAACCTAGGATATAAAATGTCACAAAACAGCAATGTCACAGCTAACAGCCGAAGTGAAAGTAGGAGGAACTAACTAACATACATGTCCTAGTAAAGCAAAAAGTAGTGACAACTAGATCCTAGAATGTTGGAGGCACTAGCCTCAGTCTGGTAACAATTGACTGGTGTATAAGTCCTAAGAACAGCAAAAGCATAACAACTAAATCCTAGAAATGTCGGAGGCAGTAGCCTCAGTCTGAGAGCCACAAAGCAATCAACAAGACAACCATATGTCACATGAGAAGTGTGTCGCACACCAAAGGGTGGGATGGTCTCTGAGGGTGGCGAATGCAGCCTAGGGGTTGAAAACTCCTAAGGGCATCCACACATAGTGACAGGGGAAAACACATGTCATCAGGCTCAATGAGGGTAGGGAACTGGGAGCGAACAGAACCAATGACCCTAACAGCTAGACCATCAGGGC